CATGTGGTCTGATGAGACAAAAATAGAGCTTTTTGGTCTAAACTCCACTCGCCGTGTTTGGAGGAAGAAGAAGGATGAGTACAACCCCAAGAACACCACCCCAACCGTGAAGCATGGAGGTGGAAACATAATTATTTGGGGATGCTTTTCTGCAAAGGGGACAGGACGACTGCACCGTATTGAGGGGGAGGATGGATGGGGCCCATGTATCGTGAGATCTTGGCCAACAACCTCCTTCCCTCAGTAAGAGCATTGAAGGTGGGTCGTGGCTGGGTCTTCCAGCATGACAACGACCAGAACACACAGCCAGGGCAACTAAGGAGTGGCTCTGTAAGAAGCATCTCAAGGCCCTGGAGTGGCCTAGCCAGTCTCCAGACCTGAACCCAATAGAACATCTTTGGAGGTAGCTGAAAGTCTGTATTGCCCAGCGACAGCCCCAAACCTGAAGGATCTAGAGAAGGTCTGTGTGGAGGAGTGGGCCAAAATCCCTGCTGCAGTGTGTGCAAACCTGGTCAAGACCTACAGGAAACGTATGATCTCTGTAATTGCAAACAAAGGTTTCTGTACCAAATATTAAGTTCTGCTTTTCTGATGTATCAAATACTTATGTCATGCAATAAAATGCAAATTAATTACTTAAAAATCATACAATGTGATTTTCTGGATTTTTGTTTTAGATTCCGTCTCTCACAGTTGAAGTGTACATATGATAAAAATTACAGACCTCTACATGCTTTGTAAGTAGGAAAACCTGCAAAATCGGCAGTGGATCAAATACTTGTTCTCCCCACTGTATGTATAGACACAATCTGACTGGAACAACAGGCCAGGAACGGGGCCACTCGCAACGTGTCACGTTTGTCTGTTTAGGGTCTGCGTGTGAGATTTGGGATCTGACCTGGGCGTCTCTTCATTATCAGTTGAAGCTGTAGACTCAAACTAACAACAACAGGACCAACTGACTGGAACAACAGGACCAACTGACTGGAACAACAGGACCAACTGACTGGAACAACAGGACCAACTGACTGGAACAACAGGCCCGACTGACTGGAACAACAGGACCAACTGACTGGAACAACAGGCCCGACTGACTGGAACAACAGGACCAACTGACTGGAACAACAGGACCAACTGACTGGAACAACAGGACCAACTGACTGGAACAACAGGACCAACTGACTGGAACAACAGGGCCCGACTGACTGGAACAACAGGACCAACTGACTGAACAACAGGCCCAACTGACTGGAAACCAACAGGACCAACTGACTGGAACAACAGGACCAACGACTGGAACAACAGGACCAACTGACTGGAACAACAGGACCAACTGACTGGAACAACAGGACCAACTGACTGGAACAACAGGACCAACTGACTGGAACAACAGGACCAACTGACTGGAACAACAGGACCAACTGACTGGAACAACAGGCCCGGACCAACTGACTGGAACAACAGGACCAACTGACTGGAACAACAGGACCAACTGACTGGAACAACAGGACCAACTGACTGGAACAACAGGACCAACTGACTGGAACAACAGGCCCGGACCAACTGACTGGAACAACAGGACCAACTGACTGGAACAACAGGACCAACTGACTGGAACAACAGGCCCGGACCAACTGACTGGAACAACAGGACCAACTGACTGGAACAACAGGACCAACTGACTGGAACAACAGGACCAACTGACTGGAACAACAGGACCAACTGACTGGAACAACAGGACCAACTGACTGGAACAACAGGACCAACTGACTGGAACAACAGGACCAACTGACTGGAACAACAGGACCAACTGACTGGAACAACAGGACCAACTGACTGGAACAACAGGACCAACTGACTGGAACAACAGGCCCAACTGACTGGAACAACAGGCCCGGACCAACTGACTGGAACAACAGGACCAACTGACTGGAACAACAGGCCCGGCCCAACTGACTGGAACAACAGGCCCGGACCAACTGACTGGAACAACAGGCCCGGACCAACTGACTGGAACAACAGGCCCAACTGACTGGAACAACAGGCCCGGACCAACTGACTGGAACAACAGGACCAACTGACTGGAACAACAGGACCAACTGACTGGAACAACAGGACCGGACCAACTGACTGGAACAACAGGACCAACTGACTGGAACAACAGGCCCAACTGACTGGAACAACAGGCCCGGACCAACTGACTGGAACAACAGGCCCGGACCAACTGACTGGAACAACAGGCCCAGACCAACTGACTGGAACAACAGGCCCGGCCCGACTGACTGGAACAACAGGACCAACTGACTGGAACAACAGGACCAACTGACTGGAACAACAGGACCAACTGACTGGAACAACAGGCCCGGACCGACTGACTGGAACAACAGGACCAACTGACTGGAACAACAGGCCCAACTGACTGGAACAACAGGACCAACTGACTGGAACAACAGGCCCAACTGACTGGAACAACAGGCCCGACTGACTGGAACAACAGGACCGACTGACTGGAACAACAGGCCCAACTGACTGGAACAACAGGCCCAACTGACTGGAACAACAGGCCCAGACCGACTGACTGGAACAACAGGCCCAGACCGACTGACTGGAACAACAGGCCCGGACCGACTGACTGGAACAACAGGCCCGGACCAACTGACTGGAACAACAGGCCCGGACCAACTGACTGGAACAACAGGACCAACTGACTGGAACAACAGGCCCGGACCGACTGACTGGAACAACAGGACCAACTGACTGGAACAACAGGCCCGGACCGACTGACTGGAACAACAGGCCCGGACCGACTGACTGGAACAACAGGACCAACTGACTGGAACAACAGGCCCAGACCGACTGACTGGAACAACAGGCCCAGACCGACTGACTGGAACAACAGGCCCGGACCAACTGACTGGAACAACAGGCCAGGACCAACTGACTGGAACAACAGGCCCGGACCGACCGACTTACTGGAACAACAGGCCCAGACCGACTGACTGACTGGAACAACAGGCCCGGACCAACTGACTGGAACAACAGGCCCGGACCGACCGACTTACTGGAACAACAGGCCCAGACCGACTGACTGACTGGAACAACAGGCCCGGACCGACTGACGTGGTCCTCTGTAGCTCAGCTGGTAGAGCACGGCGCTTGTAACGCCAAGGTAGTGGGTTCGATCCCCGGGACCACCCATACACAAAAATGTATGCACGCACGACTGTAAGTCGCTTTGGATAAAAGCGTCTGCTAAATGGCATATTAATATTATTATTATTATTAACAGGCCCGGACCGACGACCAACTGATTGCGGGTATATCCCTAATGACACCCTATTCCCTACATAGTGCACTACTTTAGACTAGAGCCCAATGGGCCTTGGTCAAATGAAGTGCACTAAATGGGAAATAGGGTGTTATGGGACGCAGTCTGCAACTATTTCAAGTGACTATGCTGGAGATTACTGAAATATGTGATGGCAGCGGGCAGGCTCTTAACCGTAACTAACATCTAGGGGAAAGGAGAGGGGAATGTGTTACAATTTAGCATACATTTGTTAGTTCTTGGTCTGGTTGTTTTTAAGATAAATAAGTACACTATATAATCATTAGTTCCTAGTCTAGTTGAGATGTAACTCTTGCTTATGAGTTTAAAATATTGTTCCTTAAAATTCATTAACATCTTTGTCATTGACAGTAAAATAGACGTTATCTTTTTTTTGTTATAAAGTCACGGCGAACCGATGAAAAACACGTTTGATTAGAGACACGCGAAGATATAGCCTGTATTGATTCACTGATTACATTATTGAACCCATTGTTTTTGCCTTCGTACCATTGCACAAGAAACAAACAGTACACTTCCAAATCAAACCCCAACCTTATCAATGAGTTAACAGAACGTCGGGGGGAGCCAATGACAGTGTCTTAGAGGTTGAACCGTAGCCAATAAAGTCATGGTACCTCTCAGCCCCTCTACAGTGGGACATTCTAGGAGAGGCGTCCCAAATGGCTCCCTATTCCCTTTGGAAAAGGGCTCTGGTCAAAAGTAGTGCACTATATAGGGAATAGGGTGCCATTCTCTGGTCTAAAGTAGTGCACTATATAGGGAATAGGGTGCCATTCTCTGGTCTAAAGTAGTGCACTATATAGGGAATAGGGTGCCATTCTCTGGTCTAAAGTAGTGCACTATATAGGGAATAGGGTGCCATTCTCTGGTCTAAAGTAGTGCACTATATAGGGAATAGGGTGCCATTCTCTGGTCTAAAGTAGTGCACTACATAGGGAATAGGGTGCCGTTTGGGACGCTGACTTCTGTGGTGAATTATCGACAGCTGCTGCTTGGCCAAGGGTCCGGTTACAACCAGCCTAATGATTGGTCCACAGCCTCAGCAGCTCCACAGTTGGGTATTCAGTGTGGATGAAGTGAAGACCGATACTGCAGTTGGGGGGGGTTGGGGGTTGTCTGAGGGACATAGCAGAAATAGAGAGAGGCTGGCTGAGCACAGCCCCAGAGCACAGCAGACTACCATCATGACAGCAGCAGAGCGCTAGGCTGAGGCCTCCTCCCCTCCCTGCCTGTGTCTCCACATAGCCCACCACACGACTGTGCTCCGTTAGCTGCCTGGATGGCTACGTAGTGGTGTACCGTGGGATAAATGTTACCATGCTACTGACGCACAGCCTCCTGCCTCCGCCAAACTGCCACCACCGGCCCGCTGGAAACGACTAGAAGAGCAGATGAAGACTTAACCAGCAGATCGTAACTCTTTATTTTTCTTAAACGACAGAAAATAATACGTCAGTTTGCCTCCTGATCTCCGAAGAAGAGTATAAGAAACCGGAAGAGCATTTTTTTTTTTTTATAAGGATTGTTGAGGAATATAATATACCTTTTTAAACCTAGAGCCTGTATTGTCCAAGGCTCTGCAGACGAACAGGGAGACCAGACCAGACCAGTTGTTACTTGTCAGGTGTGACTAGAAGCAGATATCACCATGCCAGAGGGGGTTATTGAGCGCCCACTGTCCCCTTCCCTCCCCAGGGACTGTGGCCATGAGTGCCGGGTGTGCCGGGTGACCATGGTGAGCCTAACGGACTACGCCAACCACATCTCCAGCAGGGTGCACAAGCAGCGCGTGGAGACGGCGGAACGGGAGGGTGCGGGGAACGACCAGGAAGAGGAGTACTTCGACAAGGAACTGGTCAAACTGATCGAGAACCGGAAGGAACTCATCAGGTAAGAGAGGATGATTTTTGTTTGTCTGTCTGCTAAAGGTTCTCATCTAACTCTGCTGAGTAGGGAACATGGGTGATAAGAACGTCTCAATGGTCATAGTCTGATCATAATGTAGAAACCAAACGTTGTTGTTTGTCTGAGGTTTGGTCTGTCTGTCTGGACTAGTGGACCATGTATAGTCACATTCTGTGTGATGGTGGTCAAGGCTTCTCATTTAGCTGTGACGTGAACCATACATGCAGCTCATAGAGGTAGGTAGAGAGGCCTCTAGATGAATAGAAGGCATCATGCATGTCACACACGCCGTAATGGCACAGCGACAAAGATGAGTCCTCTTTTATATCTCTATGGTTGCTGCTCATAGAGCCCAGGGCGGAGGGAGGGAGGGAGGGAGGGAGGGGTCACATGTCAGAGTTACGGACTAAAAAAAGCATTACAGTCACAGCACCCTCTCTCCCTCTCTACAGCCCGGCAACATTCCACACCATGCCCTCTATGGCTTCTAGAAGGTGTTCACAGAAACCGTCCTCTCACTGGCCTAATTAATATATAGGAGTTGAAAACCGTCCTCTCACTGGCCTAATTAATGTATAGGAGTTGAAAACCGTCCTCTCACTGGCCTAATTAATGTATAGGAGTTGAAAACCGTCCTCACTGGCCTGATGTATAGGAGTTGAAAACCGTCCTCACTGGCCTGATGTATAGGAGTTGAAAACCGTCCTCACTGGCCTGATGTATAGGAGTTGAAAACCGTCCTCACTGGCCTGATGTATAGGAGTTGAAAACCGTCCTCACTGGCCTGATGTATAGGAGTTGAAAACCGTCCTCACTGGCCTAACTTAATGAATAGGAGTTGAAAACTGTCCTCTCACTGGCCTAATTAATGTATAGGAGTTGAAAACCGTCCTCACTGGCCTGATGTATAGGAGTTGAAAACCGTCCTCACTGGCCTGATGTATAGGAGTTGAAAACCGTCCTCACTGGCCTGATGTATAGGAGTTGAAAACCGTCCTCACTGGCCTAATTTAATGAATAGGAGTGGAAAACCGTCCTCTCACTGGCCTAATGTATAGGAGTTGAACATATGTTTGGTTTTGGGGCATCTCAACTTAGTAATAGATGATAATGATAGCTGATTATAAAGATATTGATAAGTTATCATTTTTTATATTGATAATATTGATAGATAATAATAGCACTGAATGTTGCCTATAGAATGTATGCTGTGTCACTCAGTTTCTGCATTGCACCAGAAACTGCAGCCATGATCACGGGCTGCCAAGATCACGGTGCTGCCAAGATCACGTGGCTGCCAAGATCACGGGGCTGCCAAGATCACGGGGCTGCCAAGATCACGGGGCTGCCAAGATCACGGGGCTGCCAAGATCACTGGCTTAACCTTTCTGAAGAGAGGGCTGAGTCACAGAGAACATAGCGGCGGTAGGATGTTCAGTTGGAAACACATCGGCCTTCCATAGACCTTTGACCTGTGTTTCTGACCTACATATTATATGCCACAGGTTCCACACAGCGTTGAAAGACTAAAGGCCAGGGGATCATCAACTCAATTCTTGAGCGGATGGTTGGGGGTCCGGAACATAATTACAAATAGCAATTACAAAATGCAAATTGACCGCAAGAAGCCCAAACAGATATAATATTTGACTAAAACACAATTATAAATCCAGCTTACGTTTTTTTTAAATGATCACGTGTCTCTCTAATTAATCTTAAGAGGCCGAAAGGATGTTTGAGCCTTGTCCAACTAGAGCAGTAGGGGAAGGTGTGTTACGATCGTCACCAGCAGCAGTTGGCTTGCAGCTGTCCCTGCCCCGCCGCGTTTAACACTCTGGGCTTGGGCCCGTCCCAAATGCCACCCTATTTCCTATATAGTGTACTTCTTTCGACCAGATACCCGAGGCCTCATGGGGGTTAGCACTCTGGGGCCCGTACCAATTAACACCCTATTCCTTATAGTGCACTGGAACCTGGTCAAAAGTAGTGCACTATACAGGGTGCCATTTGGCATGCACCCTGGGGCACAGGAGGACCATGCCAAAACTCTGGGGGGGAAATAGATATTGTTGCTAGGCAGATATTGTTGCTTTCAAATGTCACAATTAGTACAGTTACATGCACATAATAATACATTTTTATTGTGAATAGTCAGATTTTTAATATAATAGTTTAATTTGAATGTTTACGTGCTTTGCAAGAAGAACGATTTCTCTAATAATCCTGTTTTTACATGGACACGTCTGAAATCAGGCTACCTGATGGAGATTTTCTGCATTGATCAAAAGTCCAATCAATTTAAACGTTCTGCCACAGCGACCATGTTATTTTTGGGAAGCCTATTTGATTCTGAGTTCGATGCAAACGTTCAGTTTTTCCGAAACTCACATCAGTGGCTTTATAGGAGGGAAGCTTACTCTGCTGATACAGGCACATATCAAACACGCCGCTGGAACTCTGATCCACGTGTCCTAATCATTTGAAAGATTGCTCAGAAAATCAGCTGTTTTAATCCGCGTATGCTTACTTCGATGTTGACCATACGGCAGATTTTACGATAAGCAGAGTAAGGTGTTTGCATGACTAATGCCATATTCGGGCCTACTGCCATAATCATTTAAATATTGAATTATTAGTGTGCACGTGAACGTACTACCTGTCATCAAACCACAGATCATGAAGCCCCTGTAGACTAGATCTATGAATGATTATTTCCTGGACAGTCTCCAATGTTCCAGTACAATCCCATGGTGCCACAGTAGTAGTTATATCATGAAGGGTAGCATTTATTGAACTGGGGCTTGTTGTGAGTGAGCTTTGACTTACACTTGTGTTTTCTCTCATCTCTCTAGGAGAGAGGAGGAGGAGAGGAGGAGAGAGGAGCAGGAGAGGAGCAGGAGAGAGGAGGAGGAGAAGAGGAGAGAGGAGGAGGAGAGGAGGAGAGAGGAGGAGGAGCGGAGGAGACAGCAGCAACAGATCCAGAAGTGGAGTGACGCACGGCAGTACTTCTGCCAGAAGGGGGCGTCGTGGGGCTGGAGAGACCCCAGCAACACCCCTCCACCACCCCCTCCTCGAAAATGCAAAGGGCCCGCCTGGCAGGGGTGCTGGGACTGGAGCTCAATCCCCGCTGGGGGTCCAGGTCCATGGGGGACCCAGGAGGACATCAGGTTTAACTGGCACAACAGGAAACAGGGCCGCAGCGCCACCTGGCACGCCCAGCAACCACCCAACTTCTCCAAGTGGAGCGCTGGAGGGAGGGGCAGCGGCAGCCTGCACAGCAGGGAGGGAACCAATAAGAGATGGGAGCAGGAGGTGTATCTCCACCCCCCAGCCCAGCAGCAGAGAGGAGGGAGGGGACCCTGGCAGCAGAACAGCAGAGGAGGTGGTACCACCGGTCTATACAGCAGCAGCAGCAGCAGAGGGGGTAACAGACCGCCTGGTCTGCTTGCTGACCCTGTCATGAGAGAAGGGCTGAGTAGCACAGAGTCTCTTCACAGGATGGACTTCACCAGCGACCAGCTGGCTCCAGCCGGGTCCTTCGACCATCTCCGTCAAGACGGTCAGGATGACGGTAGGAAGGGTGGACACCAGAACATGGCCCAGGAAGGGCCAGGCGGTGGAGCAGAACGAGATCGTAACAGCGTCATGGGGATGGGGCCCAAGGCGTTTGGTAGTAATCCTAAACTAGACAAGGCCTGTCGCTGGTCACCTTATCCGTCCCATAAGGAGACTCACCCCCACCCTCATCCTCCCCCCTCAGAGAGGCACCCAAAGGGTCCTCCTCCTCCCCCAACCCTCCAGACCCAGACCCCCCAGATCCCCTCGGCCCAGGGCAGAGATGTGGACCTGAGGCCCAGACGCGACATAGCGCTGGAGCCCCACTGCTCCTCGGGTCTGAAGCCGACCCAGTCCAGATGGGACCAGCGAGCAGCACCGCAGCAGAGGTCTCCTGATCACATTGTAGAAGGGGGGGAACACAGGAAGCGTAGAGACGTCTCTACCAGGAACAGTCTGAGGACAGACTCCTCCTCCTCTGGGTCCACCTCCACAAGACGGAGGGCAGCTAAGCCATCAGAGTGCCTTGAGAAGGGCCTGTCCTTCCCTTTTACTACCAGCCCCAAGACCCACCTCAGTGGGGCCTCCAGCCCCACCCTCAACCTAGCCCCCAGTCCCAAGACCCACCTCAGTAGGGCCTCCAGCCCCACCCTCAACCTAGCCCCCAGCCCCAAGACCCACCTCAGTGGGGCCTCCAGCCCCACCCTCAACCTAGCCCCCAGCCCCAAGACCCACCTCAGTGGGGCCTCCAGCCCCAAGACCCACCTCAGTGGGGCCTCCAGCCCCAAGACCCACCTCAGTAGGGCCTCCAGCCCCACCCTCAACCTAGCCCCCAGTCCCAAGACCCACCTCAGTGGGGCCTCCAGCCCCAAGACCCACCTCAGTGGGGCCTCCAGCCCCAAGACCCACCTCAGTGGGGCCTCCAGCCCTAGCCCCTCTACCACCCCCAGCACCCAGCTGAGCCGAGCCTCCAGCCAGGACTCGGACCAGCCCGGGTCGTCCAGACACAGCAGCCAGGATTTGGGGAGGAGGCTGGGATCAAAGTCCTCTACCCCACAGCAGGACCAGGAGCAGCAGCTGGCTGAGATGCTGAGGAGAGCCAAGGAGACGCTGCTAGACAAGAGGAGCTCCGTGGATCTGCCTGCTGCTGACCACAGGACGGAGCGAGAGAAGACAACGAACTCTAACGACCAGAGGATGGAGAACGGGGAGAGGAAGACGGTGCTACACATCGAGGAACCGCAGCAGCAGGTGGAGAGCTCTGAGGGCGTCAAGGTCAGAGCCAACAACAACAGACAGAATAGAAGGAAGACCTCTAGACAGACCAGACAGGACAGAGCTAGCAGCAGCGCTAACCCAGCTGGGGACAGTGAGACGTCTCCCTCAGACAATCACCTTTCTGTCCAGTCTGTCCAGGTCAGCACCTCCACCATGGAGTCCCCAGGTGGGGCTGCGCTCTCTCTCTCTCCCAGGGTGGCTGGTGATGGAGATGGAGAGGAGGCCATGGAGGTAGCAGACGCAGGGTTGTGGTCAGACAGTGACCCCTTGAGAACCATCGACCCTAACCTTGACCTCCACACGACCTCTGACCCCTCCTCAGGCTCCACCCTGACCAAACCCAGCCTACCCCTCGCCCTAAAGAGGGACCTCACCCGACACATCGGCTCCAAGACCAAGAGCGGCAGCCACGAGCCCAATCTGAACATCGCCCGGCGGATCAGGAATGTGAGCGGGACGAGGAGAGGGGATGCGGAGAAGGATTCGGGTCTGAAGCCGACGTTAAGACAGCTCATCAGCTCCTCGGGGTCACGGCGCTGTGTCAACTGGGACCAGGTGTACCAGGAAGTCCACAGGAAGAAGCAGGAGCAGGGGAAAGGCATGCCCAGGTGAGAGGTCATCTGGAGCAGGATGTATGACGCATCTCATAGTAGCCTTTTAGATTAGTAATATACACTGAGTGTACAAAACATTAAGAACGCCTGCTCTTTCCATGACATAAACTGACCCGGTGAATCCAGGTGAAAGCTATGGATCCCTTATTGATGTCACCTGTTAAATCCACTTCAATCAGTGTAGATGAAGGGGAGGAGACAGGTTAAAGAAGGATTTTTAAGCCTTGAGACAACTGAGACATGGATTGTGTATGTGTGCCATTCAGAGGGTGAATGGGCAAGACAAAAGATTTAAGTGCCTTTTGAACGGGGTATGGTAGTAGGTGCCAGGCACACCGGTTTGTGTCGAATTGCATTCGCTGTTGGGTTTTTCCACGCTCAACAGTTTCCTGTGTGCATCAAGAATGGTCCACCAACCAAAGGACATCCAGCCAACTTGACACAACCGTGGGAAACATTGGAGTCAACATGGGCCAGCATCCCTGTGGAACGCTTTCGGCACCTTGCAGAGTCCATGCCCCGATGAATGGAGGCTGTTCTGAGGGCAAAAGGGGGTGCAACTCAATATCAGGAAGGTGTTCCTAATGTTTGGTATAGTCAGTGTATGGTGATTTTAGAGGTAAGGGGTACCTGATCCCAGATCAGCACTGCTACTCTAAGATGCTTGAAACAGACAGTTTATTAGGTACACCCCCCCGTTCACCAAAATGGTTCGCTCCTACAGACAGTTTATTAGGTACCCCCCCGTTCCCCAAATGTGTTCGTCCTACGACAGTTTTATTAGGTACACCCCCCCGTTCACTCAAATGGTTCCTCCTACAGACAGTTTATTAGTACACCCCCGATTCACAAAATGGTCGCTCCTACAATCAGTTTCTTAGGTACAAACCCCCCCGTTCCAAAATGGTTTCGCTTCCTATCGACGTTTATTAGGTCACCCACCCGTCACAAAATGTTCCCTCCTACAGACAGTTTATTAGTACACCCCCCCGTTCCCAAAATTGGTCGCTCCTACAGACGTTCTGATGTCACCACCCCTTCCCAAAATGGTTCGTTCCTACATACAGTTATTAGGTATCAACACCCTTTCACCAAAAGTGGGTTCACTCCTACTAGACAGTTTTATTAGGTACAACACCCCGTTCACCAAAATGGTTCGCTCCTACAGACAGTTTATTAGGTACAACACCCCGTTCACCAAAATGGTTCCCTCCTACAGACAGTTTATTAGGTACAACACCCCGTTCACCAAAATGGTTCGCTCCTACAGACAGTTTATTAGGTACAACACCCCGTTCACCAAAATGGTTCCCTCCTACAGACAGTTTATTAGGTACACCCCCCCGTTCACCAAAATGGTTCGCTCCTACAGACAGTTTTTAGGTACACCCCCCCCGTTCACCAAAATGGTTCCCTCCTACGACAGTTATTAGGTACACCCCCCGTTCACCAAATGGTTCCCTCCTACAGACAGTTTATTGGTACACACCCCCCCGTTCACCAAAATGGTTCCCTCCTACAGACAGTTTATTAGGTACACCCCCCCGTTCACCAAAATGGTTCCCTCCTACAGACAGTTTATTAGGTACACCCCCCCGTTCACCAAAATGGTTCCCTCCTACAGACAGTTTATTAGGTACACACCCCGTTCACCAAAATGGTTCCCTCCTACAGACAGTTTATTAGGTACACCCCCCGTTCACCAAAATGGTTCGCTCCTACAGACAGTTTATTAGGTACACCCCCCCGTTCACCAAAATGGTTCCCTCCTACAGACAGTTTATTGGTACACCCCCCTTCACCAAAATGGTTCCCTCCTACAGACAGTTTATTAGGTACACCCCCCCGTTCACCAAAATGGTTCCCTCCTACAGACAGTTTATTAGGTACACCACCCCCGTTCACCAAAATGGTTCGCTCCTACAGACAGTTTATTAGGTACAACACCCCGTTCACCAAAATGGTTCGCTCCTACAGACAGTTTATTAGGTACAACACCCCGTTCACCAAAATGGTTCGCTCCTACAGACAGTTTATTAGGTACACCACCCCGTTCACCAAAATGGTTCGCTCCTACAGACAGTTTATTAGGTACACCACCCCGTTCACCTAAATGGTTCGCTCCTACAGACAGTTTATTAGGTACAACACCCCGTTCACCAAAATGCTTCGCTCCTACAGACAGTTTATTAGGTACAACACCCCGTTCACCAAAATGCTTCGCTCCTACAGACAGTTTATTAGGTACAACACCCCGTTCACCAAAATGGTTCCCTCCTACAGACAGTTTATTAGGTACACCCCCCCCGTTCACCAAAATGGTTCCCTCCTACAGACAGTTTATTAGGTACAACACCCCGTTCACCAAAATGGTTCGCTCCTACAGACAGTGAGTCACGTGGCCGTGGCTTGCTATATACAGCTGGCAGACAGGCATCGAGGCATTCAGTTACTGTTCCATTGAACGTTAGAATGGTCAAAACGAGTGACCTAAGCGACTGAGCGTGGTATGATCGTCGGTGCCAGACGCGCCGGATCCATTATCTCAGAAACAGCCGGCCTCCTGGGCTTTTCATGCACGAGTGTCTAGGGTTTACCGAGAATGGTGCGGCAAACAAAACACATCCGGTCAGCGGCAGTCCTGTGGGCGAAAACAGCTTGTTGATGAGAGGTCGAAGGAGAATGCAGCAGACGACCACACCGGGTTCCACTCCTATCAGCTAAAAACAAGAAGAAGTTGCTCCAGTGGGCACGCCGTCACCAACACTGGACAACTGAGGAGTGGAAAAACATTGCCTGGTCCGACGAATCCCGGTTCCTGTTGCATCATGCTGATGGCAGAGTCAGGATTTGGCGTAAGCAGCATGAGTCCATGGCCCCATCCTGTCTGGTGTCAGCGGTACAGATTGATGGCGGTAGTGGAATGGTGTGGGGAATGGCCCCATCCTGTCTGGTGTCAGCAGTACAGGCTGGTGGCGGTAGTGTAATAATGTGGAGCAGTACAGGCTGGTGGTGGTGGTGTAATGGTGTGGGGAATGGCCCCATCCTGTCTGGTGTCAGCAGTACAGGCTGGTGGCGGTAGTGTAATGGTGTGGAGCAGTACAGGCTGGTGGCGGTAGTGTAATGGTGTGGAGCAGTACAGGCTGGTGGCGGTAGTGTAATGGTGTGGGGAATGTTTTCCTGGCACGTGTTAGGTCCCTTGATACCAATTGATCAACGTTTGACATGCCCCGAAGAATTGTACTGTGCTATAGGCAAAGGGGGGTCCGACCCGATACTGAAACCTTGACTTTTGAAGACCTTTAACAGTAGTCTAGGTACCAGTCTGTTTCTCCTCTCTTTATGGAATCCATAATGCCCGGCTTGACAAGGACAATAGAGTAGACAAAAGCACTTAGAGATCTGGGACCTTTTTAAAAGTACACGTGTCCTGTTCTGTCAGTCGTGTTAAATATCTGTCGAGTTGATGGTAATGGCTGACTTAACGTGAGATGTATCCTGTCTGTCTTGTCAGGTTTGGTATAGAGATGGTGTCCTGTGACCAGGAGGGGTTGAGCCAGGAGGAAGAAGACATCCCTCTGACCGAGGGGTTCCAGTGGGAGACGCTCTTCGGCCTCGGAGACTCTGGACCTTCCCTCGCCCCCGTGACTCCTCGCAAACGCAGCCTCTCGGAGAGCAGCGTGGCTCCTGACCGCTCGTCCGCCAACCTCTCCTCTCTCTTCGGGGGTCAGACCCAGGGTCAGGCGATGCCGGGGGAGAGGGCACCCAGAGATGGGGCTGGCAGGGCAGGGAAACTAAGCTCAGAGCAGCAAAGCTCCTCGTCCTTCGGAGACCCCGAGCAGCCTGAGGTGGAGGGGACACAGTGTGAGGACAGAGCACAGAGAGAAGTACAGGGGCCACTAGCACAGGGGCCACCAGGGGCCCTGGTCCAGCAGAGACCTGACTCAGTGATGGGGGACAGCAGCTCCGGGACGGAGCAGAACGATACGCAGGGAGCCAGGACCAAACGACGAGCAGCTGGGGACATTCCTCATTTAGAGAGGAAGAATAAAAGAATGAAGGTCAAGTCCAAGAAAGGTGAACTCAGCACACGTGACAGCAGCACGCCGTCTATAATAATACGTGACAGCAGCACGCTGTCTATAATAATACGTGACAGCAGCACGCCGTCTATAATAATACGTGACAGCAGCACGCTGTCTATAATAATACGTGACAGCAGCACGCTGTCTATAATAATACGTGACAGCAGCACGCTGTCTATAATGATAGGTGACAGCAGCACGCTGTCTATAATAATACGTGACAGCAGCACGCTGTCTATAATGATACGTGACAGCAGCACGCTGTCTATAATGATACGTGACAGCAGCACGCTGTCTATAATAATACGTGACAGCAGCACGCTGTCTATAATAATACGTGACAGCAGCACGCTGTCTATAATGATACGTGACAGCAGCACGCTGTCTATAATAATACGTGACAGCAGCACGCCGTCTATAATGATAGGTGACAGCAGCACGCCGTCTATAATGATACGTGACAGCAGCACGCCGTCTATAATGATACGTGACAGCAGCACGCTGTCTATAATAATACGTGACAGCAGCACGCCGTCTATAATGATACGTGACAGCAGCACGCCGTCTATAATGATACGTGACAGCAGCACGCTGTCTATAATGATACGTGACAGCAGCACGCTGTCTATAATGATACGTGACAGCAGCACGCCGTCTATAATGATACGTGACAGCAGCACGCTGTCTATAATAATACGTGACAGCAGCACGCAGTCTATAATGATACGTGACAGCAGCACGCTGTCTATAATAATACGTGACAGCAGCACGCCGTCTATAATAATACGTGACAGCAGCACGTTGTCTATAATGATACGTGACAGCAGCACGCCGTCTATAATGATACGTGACAGCAGCACGCTGTCTATAATAATACGTGACAGCAGCACGCTGTCTATAATAATACGTGACAGCAGCACGCCGTCTATAATAATACGTGACAGCAGCACGTTGTCTATAATGATACGTGACAGCAGCACGCCGTCTATAATGATACGTGACAGCAGCACGCCGTCTATAATGATACGTGACAGCAGCACACCGTCTATAATAATACGTGACAGCAGCACGCTGTCTATAATAATACGTGACAGCAGCACGCTGTCTATAATAATACGTGACAGCAGCACGCTGTCTATAATAATACGTGACAGCAGCACGCTGTCTATAATAATACGTGACAGCAGCACGCTGTCTATAATGATACGTGACAGCAGCACGCTGTCTATAATAATACGTGACAGCAGCACGCTGTCTATAATAATAATACGTGACAGCAGCACGCCGTCTATAATGATACGTGGCAGCAGCACGCCGTCTATAATGATACGTGACAGCAGCACGCTGTCTATAATAATACGTGACAGCAGCACGCTGTCTATAATGATACGTGACAGCAGCACGCCGTCTATAATGATACGTGGCAGCAGCACGCCGTCTATAATAATACGTGACAGCAGCACGCTGTCTATAATAATACGAGACAGCAGCACGCTGTCTATAATAATACGTGACAGCAGCCTGCTGTCTATAATAATACGTGACAGCAGCACGCCGTCTATAATAATACGTGACAGCAGCATGCTGTCTATAATGATACGTGACAGCAGCACGCCGTCTATAATGATACGTGACAGCAGCACGCCGTCTATAATGATACGTGACAGCAGCACGCTGTCTATAATAATACGTGACAGCAGCCTGCTGTCTATAATAATACGTGACAGCAGCACGCTGTCTATAATAATACGTGACAGCAGCACGCTGTCTATAATGATACGTGACAGCAGCACGCTGTCTATAATGATAGGTGACAGCAGCACGCCGTCTAATGATACGTGACAGCAGCACGCTGTCTATAATGATACGTGACAGCAGCACGCTGTCTATAATAATACGTGACAGCAGCACGCTGTTTATAATAATACGTGACAGCAGCACGCTGTCTATAATGATACGTGACAGCAGCACGCTGTCTATAATAATACGTGACAGCAGCACGCCGTCTATAATAATACGTGACAGCAGCACGCTGTCTATAATAATACGTGACAGCAGCACGCCGTCTATAATGATAGGTGACAGCAGCACGCTGTCTATAATGATACGTGACAGCAGCACGCCGTCTATAATAATACGTGACAGCAGCACGCCGTCCATAATGATACGTGACAGCAGCACGCCGTCTATAATGATACGTGACAGCAGCACGCTGTCTATAATGATACGTGACAGCAGCACGCTGTCTATAATGATACGTGACAGCAGCACGCTGTCTATAATGATACGTGACAGCAGCACGCTGTCTATAATAATACGTGACAGCAGCACGCTGTCTATAATAATACGTGACAGCAGCACGCCGTCTATAATAATACGTGACAGCAGCACGCTGTCTATAATAATACGTGACAGCAGCACGCCGTCTATAATGATAGGTGACAGCAGCACGCTGTCTATAATGATACGTGACAGCAGCACGCCGTCTATAATAATACGTGACAGCAGCACGCCGTCTATAATGATACGTGACAGCAGCACGCCGTCTATAATGATACGTGACAGCAGCACGCTGTCTATAATGATACGTGACAGCAGCACGCCGTCTATAATGATACGTGGCAGCAGCACGCCGTCTATAATGATACGTGACAGCAGCACGCTGTCTATAATGATACGTGACAGCAGCACGCCGTCTATAATGATACGTGACAGCAGCACGCCGTCTATAATGATAGGTGACAGCAGCACGCTGTCTATAATGATACGTGACAGCAGCACGCCGTCTATAATAATACGTGACAGCAGCACGCCGTCTATAATAATACGTGACAGCAGCACGCCGTCTATAATGATACGTGACAGCAGCACGCTGTCTATAATAATACGTGACAGCAGCACGCTGTCTATAATAATACGTGACAGCAGCACGCTGTCTATAATGATAGGTGACAGCAGCACGCCGTCTATAATAATACGTGACAGCAGCACGCCGTCTATAATGATACGTGACAGCAGCACGCTGTCTATAATAATACGTGACAGCAGCACGCTGTCTATAATGATAGGTGACAGCAGCACGCTGTCTATAATGATACGTGACAGCAGCACGCCGTCTATAATAATACGTGACAGCAGCACGCTGTCTATAATAATACGTGACAGCAGCACGCCGTCTATAATAATACGTGACAGCAGCACGCCGTCTATAATAATACGTGACAGCAGCCTGCTGTCTATAATAATACGTGACAGCAGCACGCCGTCTATAATGATACGTGACAGCAGCACGCCGTCTATAATGATAGGTGACAGCAGCACGCCGTCTATAATAATACGTGACAGCAGCCTGCTGTCTATAATAATACGTGACAGCAGCACGCCGTCTATAATGATACGTGACAGCAGCACGCCGTCTATAATGATACGTGACAGCAGCACGCCGTCTATAATAATACGTGACAGCAGCCTGCTGTCTATAATAATACGTGACAGCAGCACGCCGTCTATAATGATACGTGACAGCAGCACGCCGTCTATAATGATACGTGACAGCAGCACGCCGTCTATAATAATACGTGACAGCAGCACGCCGTCTATAATGATACGTGACAGCAGCACGCCGTCTATAATAATACGTGACAGCAGCCTGCTGTCTATAATAATACGTGACAGCAGCACGCCGTCTATAATAATACGTGACAGCAGCCTGCTGTCTATAATAATACGTGACAGCAGCACGCTGTCTATAATGATAAGTGACAGCAGCACGCCGTCTATAATAATACGTGACAGCAGCCTGCTGTCTATAATGATACGTGACAGCAGCACGCTGTCTATAATGATACGTGACAGCAGCACGCCGTCTATAATGATACGTGACAGCAGCACGCTGTCTATAATAATACGTGACAGCAGCACGCCGTCTATAATGATACGTGACAGCAGCACGCTGTCTATAATAATACGTGACAGCAGCACGCCGTCTATAATAATACGTGACAGCAGCACGCCGTCTATAATAATACGTGACGGCAGTCCAATCCAGATGGTCATGGCTCAGGTCCAAGTCTTTTTCTCGCTCAGTAAACCATTTTATTCTGTTTTATTGTTCTCCAGAGCGTGTGCAGTTGGAACAACTCCTGGCTGTGTCTCTCAGAGAGGAGGATCTGAGCCGGTCTCTACAGGGGGTCGACATCAGCCTGATCCAGGCCAGGGCTGCTCTTCAGACTGCCTACATGGAGGTCCAGCGCCTCTTAGTGGTCAAACAGCAGGTATTACATCTTCACCCCCAGCCTATAATAATAATAAAAATAATAATAATAATAATATGCCATTTAGCAGATGCTTTTATCCAAAGCGACTTAGTCATGTGTGCATACATTTTTTTTTGTGTGTATGGGTGGTCCCGGGGATCGAACCCACTACCCTGGCGTTACAAATGCCGTGCTCTACCAGCTGAGCTACAGAGGACCACAGTGGCCCTGTCGGATTCCATAAATTTCAGTTGAAAAATGACATCATTAATCCGAGTGACGATCATAAAGTCCTTGTCAGTGTGTGTCCCTACCATATGGTGTGATCTGTTGGGACTAGAAACGGGAGGGAGCAGCTGTAGACAATATCCCCAGATAGAAATGGTCCATGATAACATGATAACGGCGAACTAACCCATCCAAACGCCTTGGCCTGACTTCGTGTTATTGTTTTGATGGTCTCAGGTTTCCATGGAGATGAGCACTCTCAGAAGGAAGCGTATTGAGTTGCTCCAAGGGATCCAAGGTAAGACCCACCAGGCTTTAATGGATGATTTGGTGTCAACTAAATGACCACTCATTTAATGAGTCTGGTGTAAGAATGGATTTGACATCTTGTCTTTTCTCACTATTTGAAATATGGGTATTGGGTAACTTGTTATAAGCGTGTATGAACCTTTTGTAATGTCTTACAATACAGCTTTTAATATGTTCTGTTTTGGCTCTTGGTGTGTATCTCAGGTGGTGTCGAGAGCCTTTCCCTGCCCAGAGTGAAGAGCTGTGAAGAGGAGATGCCTTTAGAGATGCCCCCCTCCCTGCTGTCGTCTCTAACAGAAGCCCCTGTCCCCAGACCTAACCAGGTTCCCCTCTACCTCCCCCCCTGCTCCGCGCCCCCCTCCCTGTCCCCTAGCCCCCACGCTCAGCCCCAGGCGGTCACACAGTCAGTAGTTGTGAAGCAGGAGCCCCTGTCCCCTGGTAGGGTGACCACTGAGACGGAGGCTGCAGAGAGCACAGTCACAGTCCACCAGCAAGTTCCTCACTGCCCCAGGCCAGAGGCCACGCCAATCCGTACAGACCCTGGCACAGGTATGGCCTGTCAACACACACACACACACACAGAGACACACACACACACAGAGACACACACAGACACACACACACACACACACACAGAGACACAGACACACACACACACACACACAGAGACACAGACACACACACACACACACACACACACACACACACACAGACACACACACACACACACTAGTAAACGTCCATTCAGAAATGGCCTGAATTGAATCAGCTGTTTCTCATTCTCTCTTAGATTGTGCCCTCAGCTGCCAATCGGTCAGCGGGATGAGGTCTGAGCATCACAGAGCCAGCAGAGAGCTCTCTCAGGAGGACAGCGGCCTACCTGTAGGAGCATCTGCAGAATGGAAGGAACCCTCCGCAGGCTCACCAGACCCGGTCCAGTCGGTAGAGAGGGGTGTCCAGGTTACCAGAGAAGACAGGGGTAACTCCGAGCCCCACCCGGCTCCGCTGTCAGGCCCGTCCAGCCGCAAGAGCTCCAGAGCCGGGGTCCAGGACCTAGAAACCCCTCCTGTCCTCGCCCTCTCCTCGCACACCTCCCCCGGCCTCCCTGCATCCCTCGCTTCGCCCCAGGCGGAGGTGACGACCGTAAAGCGCGTGAGGAAGTTGAAGAAGAAGAGGGTGCTGAGGAAGGCCAAGGGGGCGGAGCAACAGCTTGACAACAGCGACACAGAACTGGAGGCGGAGACGACCCTCTCCCGACCCGTCAGACTCCTCCGCACCCGCAAGAAAGCCAGCGGAGGATCCCAGCCCCAGGTCACCACATCCACCTCCAGCCCGCCCGGAGCAGCAGAGGACAGGGGGGAGGTTAGAGTAGAGGCTCCAGGACCTCCAGGACCTCCAGGACCTCCAGGACCTCCAGCCACTAGGCCTGAGGAGAGGCAGGAGGACTCTGACTCCTCTCTAGAGATGGTAATGCTCCCCCAGGCAGCTCCAGCTGAGGTGGTTACCATCGACACCTCAGGCCCAGAGGATAGAGACATGGAAGTGTGCAGCATTGCCTCTCCACAGCCCCAGCCCACTGTCTTACCCCCAGCCCCAGCCTCAGCCCCAGACACACTGAAGACAGAGCCCCAGAAGCTGGCCTGCAATGAGGTCACCTCCACCAGCGAGATGGATGTCAGCTCTGTAGTCAGGACCTGTAAGAGGTGAGAGGGATATGTCCCGTACAGTTCTGGACAGATAAATTGGCACCGTTACACGTTTCTCAGATAATTCCCTATTTCTTCTAAAATAAGTTGAATGAAAAAAAAATAAAGTTTTGGGATTTTCAACATTTCAGAACCAATTTTATTTTTGCCACCACTGCACTAGTACTTGGTTGAACAGCCTTTGGCCAAAATAACGGCAGACAAATGATTCTTGTAGCCATCAATGAGCTTGCTGCAACTTCTAGTGGAAGTTTGGGCCACTCTTCAGCATCAAATTGCTCTAATTCAAAAAATGTTGGCCGACATTTTGCTAATTTTCTCATCTATGAAAAACATTTGATCTCCATACAGTTTTCTTTTTTCCAAAACTAGAATCGGTAACAGAGTGGACAGCGTATTGTAGACGTTACCCTTTGCCAAAGTTTCCAAAAATTGCGTTGTTTAGAAGGAGTGAAAGGGTGCATTGGGTTATTTCAGAGTAGGCGTTCCCTAACGGAAATATGCAAATACATGCTAGAACGCGCCAATAGGGTGTCACTAGCTCGTGCTTGGCTCTGCCCACCTCCTTGCTTGTCCTGCCCACTATGATTAATTTGCTCCTGTTGGTAACGACAGGCTGTGGTCTACCTTGGATTGGTTATAAAAAAATATTTGTTTCTGTGCTCTGAGCACGCAAATTGGAACATGGGAGGGTCGTCCCAAATGTAATGTATGCTACAAGGATCTTTTGTCCCCAATTATCTTAGCCAAAGGCTGTCCAAGTCCCAGCTCCGTGGTGCCAATCATTCTGTCCAAAGGCTTTCCAAGTCCCAGCTCCGTGGTGCCAATCATTCTGTCCAAAGGCTGTCCAAGTCCCAGCTCCGTGGTGCCAATCATTCTGTCCAAAGGCTGTCCAAGTCCCAGCTCCGTGGTGCCAATCATTCTGTCCAAAGGCTTTCCAAGTCCCAGCTCCGTGGTGCCAATCATTCTGTCCAAAGGCTGTCCAAGTCCCAGCTCCGTGGTGCCAATCATTCTGTCCATGCCTTTCGTCTTTATATTCTGAACTTAAGTTTGTCCATGCCTTTCGTCTTTATATTCTGAACTTAAGTTTGTCCATGCCTTTCGTCTTTATTTTCTGAACTTAAGTTTACAAAAATAAAATAAATAAATACAATTTGGTTCTGCGATGTTGAAAATCCAATAACAAGGTGTGGAGTCCAAAAGTAGTTTTGAAATGTCTTATTTATTGTAGAAGAAATAGGAAGTTATTTCTGAAAAGTGGAAGGGTAGATGGATCTGTTTGGAGCTGTACTGCTAGTGCTGCTTGGACTGCAACTCTTATGCCTGTAAGAGTATTTTAGTTGACACTCCTATGAAACAGGAGGTGTTGGTGATCCACAGTTAATATTTAACAAAGGCTTCCGCTCATTTTAGTTTATCTGAGCATAGGTTAAAAAGGCTATAGATTAGGCTATAGGTTAAAAGGCAGTAGATTAGGCTGTAGGTTAAAAGGCAGTAGATTAGGCTGTAGGTTAAAAGGTTATAGATTAGGCTATAGGTTAAAAGGCAGTAGATTAGGCTGTAGGTTAAAAGGCAGTAGATTAGGCTGTAGGTTAAAAGGCAGTAGATTAGGCTATAGGTTAAAATGTTATAGATTAGGCTGTAGGTTAAAAGGCAGTAGATTAGGCTATAGGTTAAAAGGCAGTAGATTAGGCTATAGGTTAAAAGGCAGTAGAATTAGGCTGAGGTTAAAAGGCAGTAGATTAGGCTGTAGGTTAAAAGGCAGTAGATTAGGCTGTAGGTTAAAAGGCAGTAGATTAGGCTATAGGTTAAAAGGTTATAGATTAGGCTGTAGGTTAAAAGGTTATAGATTAGGCTGTAGGTTAAAAGGCAGTAGATTAGGCTGTAGGTTAAAAGGCAGTAGATTAGGCTGTAGGTTAAAAGGCAGTAGATTAGGCTGTAGGTTAAAAGGTATAGATTAGGCTATAGGTTAAAAGGCAGTAGATAGGCTAGAGGTTAAAAGGCAGTAGATTAGGCTGTAGGTTAAAAGGTTATAGATTAGGCTATAGGTTAAAAGGCAGTAGATTAGGCTGTAGGTTAAAAGGCAGTAGATTAGGCTGTAGGTTAAAAGGTTATAGATTAGGCTATAGGTTAAAAGGCAGTAGATTAGGCTGTAGGTTAAAAGGTTATAGATTAGGCTGTAGGTTAAAAGGCAGTAGATTAGGCTGTAGGTTAAAAGGTTATAGATTAGGCTATAGGTTAAAAGGCAGTAGATTAGGCTGTAGGTTAAAAGGTTATAGATTAGGCTATAGGTTAAAAGGCAGTAGATTAGGCTGTAGGTTAAAAGGTTATAGATTAGGCTATAGGTTAAAAGGTTATAGATTAGGCTATAGGTTAAAAGGCAGTAGATTAGGCTGTAGGTTAAAAGGCAGTAGATTAGGCTGTAGGTTAAAAGGTTATAGATTAGGCTATAGGTTAAAAGGCAGTAGATTAGGCTATAGGTTAAAAGGCAGTAGATTAGGCTGTAGGTTAAAAGGTTATAGATTAGGCTATAGGTTAAAAGGCAGTAGATTAGGCTGTAGGTTAAAAGGCAGTAGATTAGGCTGTAGGTTAAAAGGTTATAGATTAGGCTATAGGTTAAAAGGCAGAGTGTAGGCTGTAGGTTAAAAGGTATAGATTAGGCTGTAGGTTAAAAGGCAGTAGATTAGGCTGTAGGTTAAAAGGTTATAGATTAGGCTATAGGTTAAAAGGCATAGATTAGGCTGTAGGTTAAAAGGTATAGATAGGCTATAGGTTTAAAAGGCAGTAGATTAGGCTGTAGGTTAAAAGGTTATAGATTAGGCTATAGGTTAAAAGGTTATAGATTAGGCTATAGGTTAAAAGGCAGTAGATTAGGCTGTAGGTTAAAAGGCTAGTAGATTAGGCTGTAGGTTAAAAGGTTATAGATTAGGTTAGGTTAAAAGGCATAGATTAGGCTGTAGGTTAAAAGGCAGTAGATTAGGCTGTAGGCTAAAAGGTTATAGATTAGGCTGTAGGTTAAAAGGCAGTAGATTAGGCTGTAGGTTAAAAGGTTATAGATTAGGCTGTAGGTTAAAAGGCAGTAGATTAGGCTGTAGGTTAAAAGGTTATAGATTAGGCTATAGGTTAAAAGGCAGTAGATTAGGCTGTAGGTTAAAAGGTTATAGATTAGGCTATAGGTTAAAAGGCAGTAGATTAGGCTGTAGGTTTAAAAGGCAGTAGATTAGGCTGTAGGTTAAAAGGTTATAGATGGCTTTAGGTTAAAATGCTTTATTAGGCTATAGGTTAAAAGGCAGTAGATTAGGCTGTAGGTTAAAAAGGCTATTTAGATTAGGCTGTAGGTTAAAAGGCAGTAGATTAGGCTGTAGGTTAAAAGGCAGTAGATTAGGCTGTAGGTTAAAAGGCAGTAGATTAGGCTGTAGGTTAAAGGCAGAGATTAGGCTTAGGTTAAAAGGCAGTAGATTTGGCTGTAGGTTTAAAAGGCAGTAGATTTGGCTGTAGGTTAAAGGCAGTAGATTAGGCTGTAGGTTTAAAAGGCGTAGATTAGGCTCTAGCTTAAAAGGCGTAGACCAGCGTCCAACCCCCAAGCTTTCCTGTCCCTCCCGCCCCTAGCTCCCCTGTCCCTCTGCCCCTAGCTCCCTGTCCTCTGCCCCTAGCTCCCCTGTCCCTCTGCCCCAGCTCCCCTGTCCCTCTGCCCTAGCTCCCTGCCCCTCTGCCCCCAGCTCCCCTGTCCCTCTGCCCCCAGCTCCCCTGCCCTCTGTCCCCCGCTCCTGCCCTAGCTCCCTGTCCTCTGCCCCTAGCTCCCCTGTCCCTCTGCCCCAGCTCCCTGTCCCTCTGTCCCTAGCTCCCCTGTCCCTCTGCCCCTGCTTCCCCTGCCCCTAGCTCCCTGTCCCTCTGTCCCAGCTCCCCTGTCCCTCTGCCCCAGCTCCCTGTCCCTCTGCCCCAGCTCCCCTGTCCCTCTGCCCCCTGTCCCTCTGCCCCCAGCTCCCCTGTCCCTCTGCCCCAGCTCCCCTGTCCCTCTGGGCCCCCAGCTCCCTGTCCCTCTGCCCCTGTCCCTCTGCCCCCTGTCCCTCTGCCCCCAGCTCCCCTGTCCCTCTGCCCCCAGCTCCCTGTCCCTCTGCCCCCAGCTCCCCTGTCCCTCTGCCCCCTAGCTCCCCTGTCCTAGCTCCCTGCCCCCAGCTCCCCTGTCCCTCTGCCCCCAGCTCCCCTGTCCCTCTGCCCCCAGCTCCCCTGTCCCTCTGCCCCTAGCTCCCCTGTCCCTGCTCCCTTTCCCCTAGCTCCCCTGCCCCTAGCTCCCCTGTCCCTCTGCCCCAGCTCCCCTGTCCCTCTGCCCCTAGCTCCCCTGTCCCTCTGCCCCCAGCTCCCCTGTCCCCTGCCCCAGCTCCCCTGTCCCTCTACCCCTAGCTCCCCTGTCCCTCTACCCTAGCTCCCCTGTCCCTCTACCCCTAGCTCCCCTGTCCCTCTACCCCTAGCTCCCCTGTCCTCTACCCCTAGCTCCCTGTCCCTCTGCCCTAGCTCCCCTGTCCTCTGCCCCCAGCTCCCCTGTCCCTCTGCCCCTAGCTCCCCTGTCCCTCTGCCCCTAGCTCCCCTGTCCCTCTGCCCCTAGCTCCCCTGTCCCTCTGCCCCCAGCTCCCCTGCCCCTCTGCCCCTAGCTCCCCTGTCCCTCTGCCCCTAGCTCCCTGCCCTCTGTCCCAGCTCCCCTGCCCCTAGCTCCCCTGTCCCTCTGCCCCAGCTCCCCTGTCCCTGCCCCTAGCTCCCTGTCCCTCTGCCCCAGCTCCCCTGTCCCTTGCCCCTAGCTCCCTGCCCCTAGCTCCCTGCCCCAGCTCCCCCGTCCCTCTGCCCTAGCTCCCCTGTCCCTCTGTCCCCAGCTCCCTGTCCCTCTGTCCCCAGCTCCCCTGTCCCTCTGCCCCCAGCTCCCCTGTCCCTCTGCCCCCAGCTCCCTGTCCC